TTCTTAAAAGCTCCTCCTCTTGGAGGCATATGTGAACAGCTTACTGTGAGTTGTTATAGAATCACAGGACCTTATTCTCCTTTCACATCAGAGTAATTCTGAAGTAATTCCATTAAAGTGAGCAGAGTTACACTGATGTGAGATCACAATCAGTTAGAAATGGAAAATTCCTAATAGCTTATCCAGTTCATAACCCTAGGGCTAGAGTACAGTTACTCCTTGCACTAAAACCGTGTTTAATTCCTTAAAATATGAATAGTGGAAAATGGTGTTTGGGAGATGTTTTGGTCATTTGGTGGGGTTTCTTTAATTCCTCATCCAATTATTCTCTTGGGAAAATTTTTGGTTTTGACTGAAAGCCAAAACCTCAACTACATTGCTCAATAAATGAAATACAAAATGAGGTAGATTGGCCATATTATGACAATGTAATTCTGAATGCCTTGTGTGCCCTTTTTCCACTACTGGTTGTAGATCACCATTAGACTAGTGATACATGGAAGCTTAAGAGAAGTTATTGTAAAGGGAAAGCAACATGGCAATCCTAGACATCTTGGTGTACCACCTCTAGCATAGAATTTCTCATATGCCTTGTTAGAACAAAGGTTGCACGGAATGCATTATTTTGTTAGAGACACTTGTGTATTTCAGTGAATGTCTAAATATTCTGAAGCATGAAGGTGGTTTTTCACTAAGTCCACTCTGCTTGAAACTCTTCTTCCTCCTGAAGAGTAATCTCAACAGAAACATTTTAACCAGACCTCATAGTGAAGTCATTTCAAACAGAAGAAAAACCCTCAATTACATCTTAGGATTGATTATATATAGCTATTTCATTACTTTCATACATGATGATTTATCCAATGTACTTGACACAAGTTTGCTGCAGGAGGGAAGCACAGCTTTCCTCTCTCCCTGCTTGCTTAGCACTGGAGAAGTTTGCTAATAGACGTTCCTGTAGAGGAGCTTGGGGCGTACCATTGTAGCATGTGCTGCTTCCCTCTCCTGAAGAGAACCCTACCGGCTGCTGCAGAGGAAGCTACTGAATTCCAAGCTTGACAACAGCACTCCAACTACATAATTTGCTTTGTTAACAGGGTTAACAAAGGGTTAACACAGGTTAATAGGCACAGAATTAATAGACACAGAAGTACTCAATTACTGGGTTTGACTTCCAAAACTGCTGGTCACCTCTGGCTCCAGCATTGCCACTTCCCAGCATTTCACTGCAAGTCTCATGGTTCTTGTAGCTCAGGGGAAAGAGCTGATGTGAAAAAGATAGTGGTTCTAGCTAGTTCAGGGACACAAACCTACTCTTACAATATTATCATGTTGATACAGAGGAAGGTTTCCATGCAGCTGGGGCTTCTGTACATCACAAAACCACGCAACCATGATAGCAAGCATTCCTTGATGCTGTTGGGTAAATGCTTTACCTGAACATCTGATCCTTCCTGTTACAGTAGCATGCTTCTAGCCCTTTGGTGTGTGGAGAACTTGCCCACCTCCAAATGATAAGAGCATGTAAAACAGAATGCACCATCATCAAAACAATGAGGTGCTGGCACAGGTGATGGAGCAGAGCCACTAGGGTAAGAACTCTACCTACCTGTAAGATGAGATTGATGTTGTTGTAAAGAGGACTGCATAATATGGTTAACTGCCACAAGAGGAGTGAAATCATTTGTGCATTCATCTTTTGTCCTGTATGCTCATGAACTATAAAATTATTAAGTCATGTGATTTCTAAGCAAAACCTAACTGGGAAGACTGACTTGGGTTGAAAAATAAAATTGTTACCACAGAGCAAATTGAGTTGTAGACTTTACAAATCAGGCCACCTGCTTAGATGCTAAACAAGGTTTCACAAGTTTGTTTTTTATGAATGAAACACTCATCTTACACCTTTATAAGCTGGGGTCTAAAATCAATCTGCTTGCAAAAGCCCTTGCTAAAGCGTGTGAGATAAATGTAACATTAAATCACACAAGCCACAAAACAGAGTCTGATACCATTTCCCTGTGAACAAAAAGCAGTAAGAAATCTCACAGCTGCTGTTCCTGCCCTTCAGCAACTTTTAATTTTTACTGATTGACACAACACCTACGCATCACATCATCCACAAGAGGCATCAGGTCTGTTTCAGGAAAAGCAAATTACTGGTTATTGTCAACAGCTGGCAGAAGCCACCAGGAACTGCTTCTTCATTCATTTGTTTTTCTCAGACACCTATAAAGAGCTGTCATCACATACCAAACAAAGTAAGCATCAGGCAGTGTGTGTGTTTCAGTGCTGGTTTACAAGGTTTCTTTTGCCATGGGAGACATATATTCAGGTATGTCAGCCATGACAAGGGAGCAAAGCAGGTACAAAGTGAGCTCAAGCACAATGTTTCAGAGCTAGTCACATCTGAAGAGCACTCTTGCAGTGGATGGCAATGGGACACAAAGGAGAACCTGGACTTACCTGGACTAGGAGCGCTGCTTCATGAGAAGCTATGTGCACCCTCTCAATGGAGGCTGTTGCCTTCATGGCCTTAGGTAATATTTGCACTTCACTGTGAACTGAGGGGGCAAAAGGTCTTGGCATGATGAAGTCAAGAGCTACTCCCTGGTATTATTTGCCCTGAGACAAACTGGCCTTTGTAGAAAGTGATATCCTTTACACCTATGCAGATATCTGAGTAACATGTGAGGAAGTACTGTGAGTGTATGGACTGGACACCTAGGATTTCCCTTGAGATATATGAAAAACAGCATATGAAAAATAATTTCATCATGTGTGTGTAAAGCATTTTGGCCAGTATTAACATCAGAAGGTGACATGAAATACAGCATATCTTTATGAATGCATTGTGCTGTAGTAGAGAAGGTAAGTTTCACTGATGTAGCAAAGTGAGTTGTGGGTGAATGAAATATGTTTTTTCATGCTGGAATGTGATCAAGATATTGGGTAAATTCCACTGCTGCTGAGAAAAGACCTGAGATGTTTCAGAAGCCAGAAGTGGTTAGGAGCTTAGTTTCTCAGTCTTGTCCAAAATTCAGCAACATTCGTAGAACAGCCCCCCTTAGCACCACAGTTGGTTCAACACTGACTCAGGGGCAAGAATGCTACCCACTGAGTCACCAACCCTGCTTCCTCCAGCACTGGCTTCTCTCTGCTGGTTATCCACTCAGGCCCAAACATGCTTAGCTTACAAGAGCTAACAAGACTGCAGCCCTGAGAAGGCTGGGTGGCATAGAATAAAAGCCTTGTGGATGCCAATGTGTCAAGGTAACCCACAGTAAAGTTTCTATTTCTGAGGTTTGTTGTTTGATTTGTGGTATAAACACCATACTCACCTCAAGGAGACACAGCACACTGTAGATTTTCATCTCCACTTTCCAGCACCTCCACAAGCATGGCGTACACGAGGGCTGCATTGAGCCCAAGCTTGTGCCATGCAGAAGAAGCATTCAGTTGCATGGGAATACATCTGTCTCCCATCCCTCTCCTCAGGAAGCGTCTGAACTTCACAGAAAGGAAGAGGGAAAGCGCAAAACCCATGCTACGTTTGATCTGAACTGTGCTTAGCCTGTATCTTTTCCTTGAAACTATGCTGAACACATTTGGAGTGGTAAGAATTGAGCTTGAGCTAGAAATAGAAGGTCTATCTTTAACATATGGCCCTAACACAAAAGAGAATCACAGTGGCCCCTCAAAGTTAGGAAGTTTTGCTTGGATATGCATTCCAAGTTTATCAGATTTTTCTCATCTTCAGCCTCCAAAGGAAAAAACTTCTTAGATATGGTATACTTGCATGCCCAGCAGACTGGACCCAAAAACATACTTTGGTTTTAAGATTTAAAAAAATAATAATAATAAAAAAGAAAATCCTCAACTTACACACGTCATGCACATGTAAGTAATTTGCAGTCTTCAAGTACTAACCCTTCACAGCCTGAAGCAGGGGCAAGGTCCTTCTCTATTCTCACAGGGCCTCTTGTCATTATGCAAGCTTTCATTCTGAAACTCAAACTCACATAAAAAATACTCAGGTTAGTGAATTTGAAACTCAGCCTGAGCAGCTCAAATGAAAACTCTGTCTGTTAACCCATTCTTGTTCCTCCACTCAAGAGCAGACTGCTTATTCTCACAACAGCACAGAACATCCTACCATATCTGAAATTTTCTGCTGGAATGACAATTTGCTTTCAGTTCCCCAGATTGTATTCATATGTCTCTGGCCCATGCACTCAAACCTGTATCCTTCCATGTCTTCAAAGAGAAAAGGTGAAAAGAAGATTCCTTGATCTTCACAACTACTCTGCTGTACTTCTCATTGTATGACCACATGTAGCGACCTCAAATGCCAAAGGATGCACTTCTGACCAAGCAGTCCCTGGGCAAGATGCTTCTGCTGTTGACTGGTGATCTAGAGATAGTGAAGAGCTCTTAGGGCTAGTTCCAACAGATGGAAGACCAAGAGTAACGTGGGGTTAAAGCTTACAGGAGTCCAGTGTTAAAGTGCTTGCAGGAAGGTTTAAAGAGAGTATCACAGCAGTAAAGCAAAGGGAGCAAAGTGGTTTAATAGGCTAACTAAAGGATGGACTGAAACAGACGTTATGTCTGTCAACAGGTTGCTTCATGGCTTTGGTCACACTAGTCACTATTTCTGCCTGTATTTTCTTCACATGCAAAATGGATATAATAAGATTTATTGAGCACTTGCAGTATCATGAGGAAAAATTGATTGGCCTTTTTAAAGCCCTATGGAATACATTCTGTAAGATTGACAGCAGACCATAATATCTATGAAGAAGGCAAGGTAATTAAAGCACAAATACGGTGGCAGAAATAAAAAAAATAAAAATTAAAAAATTAAAAAAAGATGGAGTCAGGAAGGAACAGCTATTATTAGAGATGCCTAAGTGATGAACAAAAAAAAAAAAAAGAGGGAATGAATACAATAAAGAAAGACAACAAGTTTCAACCAAGAGAAATGAATACTAGTAATAAAAAAGCACTATCAAATATGAAGAAAATAAAAAACAGTGGGAGAAGACCTGAGTTAAGAAAGAAGAAGTGTTGGTTTTCCTTAGTACCACCTAAGATTTTTTAAAAATAGCCACCTTAAATAGCCACTTTAGTGTTACCACCCGAGTACCAGTCAGTGTGAGAAGCAGAGGATAGAAAAAAAAAAGATAAGCAGAAAAAAAATATCAGTTGAATATAAAATTTTAAAGACTTTTTTAATTATTATGCCAGTAGCCATGGTTTTCTTGAGGAAGGCAATGTTTTTGTTATTGTTATAAATGTTTTTCAACAAAAATCTTCAGTGTCTGTCAGAAAGAAGAACATAAAATTTAAGCGCAATAATTCAAAACCTTTCTACATTATACTTTAAACTTTTTTTTTTTTTTTTTTATGAAAACCTGATGTTTCTGTGGGAAAATCATCACTTCCCAGACACCTCTATTTTTAGGCCTGTGTTCTCAATTAGCCTGGTACTCATTTGCAGTATGCCTCTCTGCAGTGTTGCAGGAATATTGTATACCAAAGGGTTACAAAGAAGCCTACCTGATATTAAAAATCTACACCCTTGAATTTCAATGGCACTGCTTTCTTTTTAACCTTCCTTTTATCTCTCTGCATTTGGGAAGACATGCATGGGGTGTCAAATCTTCCAGTGAGAACTTTCCATGGCACAAAACCATGATGGGAAAGAAAACATGCAATAAAAGCACAATGCACAAGAATAACCTTAGTAAGGCTGAATCCTGACGTGTGCCTTGGATATGTGATTGAACCCCAGATCATCCACTAGTAATCCTCCTGTTTTTGCTTGTACATGTCTGAAACATTGGCTAAACTGACTGTTCTGGGAGAGACTCTGTAATGACTCCTTAACTGTCAGAACAGACAATCGCATTGGTAAATGTAAATAAGTCACTTTGAGCATATCTGTTGCTTTCTGCCTACAGAAATTCATCTTAGTGGCACTGGTCCCATTTACAAGCTTTGCGCTTGAGGGAATAAGAAAAGCTGCCCAGATCATCATGGGAAAGTTTATACACAGAGCAGCTCAGCCAGCAAAGTGCTTGGCTCGACACGCTGCAAGCAGAGAGGCTGCCCATGGATCCATCTCCACAGGCATTCAGCCTCTGCACAGCTTGGATGACTACAGCCGTGGATCTGCTCCCTCTGCTCCAGCACCTGCCCTGTGCTGCTGACCAGAGCACAGCAGCCACTGGAGGAGTAGGAGCTTGTCCTGCAAGGAGGCAGGCTGCTCATGTCCAGAGAATCTCCTAGGCGCCAGATCTTGATGCTGTTTCTCATACCATAGGGTGTGACTGCAAAGTGCTCGTTCCACTGAGGTGGCTGAGGAGAGCCAGGATGGGGAGCAGCAGCTGGTCACTGTGCAAGTCCTCATGTTCCAATGGGCTTGAATGTTTTGGTGGACACATGTATCAGCCAGGCCAATGTCTCAGGAAGACTCTTTCTGCTGTGTAGGTGAATATCCAGAATCCCATGGGGTTTGGCATCATCCTTAACACTCTGACTGTACAGGACCCTCTTCCCTGGGTAGCCACAGGCCAAAGCTCGTAGCTGACACTGACAGGAAGACCACAATTGGGTGTTAGAGGTTCCCTGCTGTAATGGAAACCTAGGGATCACCTGGCACAACTGAGCTCTTATATTTGTAATCATTCCTGTTGCTATGGCCACTGCATGTGGGTATAAATCTTTCCCAAGTGATATTACTATGGGAGAGTAGGGTGTAGCCCAGGAAAGGGTACTGTTTGATTGATATGATTTTTTTTTCATGACCTGTCCAGGTCTCTGAGTTTACCTATTCCATTGCTTTTGCAAAAAATTTCCTCATGACAGAGCACTCATGTATTTAGTAATAATATTTAACATCTATATTGGACTCTGTGCATTCCAAGTGCTATACAAACACAAACTCATTCATCTTATTTTTTATCTCATTACAGTTATCTGCAGTGCTGAGTTGGTTTGATCCCCACTTCAGAGACCTTTTAACAGTGAAATTGTTACCAGGCGAATTTCCCATCTAAATCACTACTAAGGACTGGAAGCTAGGCTCCCCCACTCTCCGTTTTAATCAGTGACTCCTTTAACTTCAGTGAAAGGCCTCTAGGTTTCTGCTGCTGAAGACAGGAAAAATAAAATCTTGGAGATAATTTTATTTAAGTTTGTTTTCACCATGAAGGTGTTCACTGGGAGCACACTGTTCTCAGAATTACAGATAGACATGCCATTTGCTCATGGGAAATCAGTCAGTTTAGTCAGGCATCCCTGTACTAAATCTACTCATAGGCAATAGGGAGGTAAGGCTAACACAGGTCCGACTTGTAACGTTCCTACTCTTTCTGCACTTGCTGTCTTCAAATTTATTCATACCTCCCTGGACCAATTCAAAATAAGTTACTAGGACTGCAAAAATAGACTAATAAGCAGAGACTTGGAGTTCAAAACATTTAGAGATTAAAGTGAGAATTCTTCTCCAAGCTGAGCTGAGTTAAAGCATGAAAGAACATTGAAACTAGCAGCAGATGTTGTATAAAGAGGGAGGACATGAGGCAGAGATTAGGCACCTCCTAAATGTGGTCTAAAGCCTGTATACTTTCTTTTCAGCTATCTTCAGCCTGGCTAAAACTTAACATAGCAGTAAAAAAAGCAGTATGATAAATGGGAGTAACTCCATAGGTATGGAAATTGTTTTACCCACAGCAAAAGTAAACTTGATGAAGCTCAGTGCACCGAAACTGGAAGGAACAATTAAACTGTGCCCAGAAATGGTGCTAATAATAGAATGTAATAACTCAGTGTAAAGATTAAGGCCATATATTTTGAGAATTTTTACTCTAAATTGGTAGATCATTAGTTACAAATGAGTAATAACAGTTTCTGTAGCAGGCACTGTTAAGAGGTCTTCCTGCATGCCGAATGCAGCTCTGGTCACTCAAGTCCATTGCTAATGAACGCAGACTGGAAGAGATGCAGAAAAGGACCTCAATGCAAGTATACATGGAGTGGCTGCACAGAAAGAGAAAAAAAAAAGGAGTAATTATCAAAAAGAAGTAGGTCCTGAATATCGGAACCATTATAAGATTGATAATTTCTGAAAGGTCAACTGAATTAGCTCTATCAAAGGAAATTAAAGGAAATTAAGACAAATGGAACAAATGATCTCACATAGCAAAGCCAACAGAAAGTGGCTTATTTAGCTAATGACTTTCCTTTCTGAAAACATGGGAAAGAGAAGAGCTGTTCAAACTAAAGACAATGTTTGTTCAGAGCAATGTGTATAAGCTACCCCTAGAGAAATATATGCAGGAAGTAGAAGAATGTTTCAAACCATCAGAGGAAGGAAGTTTTGGAAGAGCTTTCAAGAGGAGCAGCAGGAGAGAACTTTCTACCCAATTTGAAAAAGAGATTGATCAATGTATGAAAGGAATTAGAGTATGTGATTTCCCATGACATCTGAAAATAGGACTCAGCAACTTTGGATACAATTTACAGACTTTTTTCTCATGTTCCTCCTCGCTCCCTGCCACCCCAGATATTTTCAAATTAAATAATGATTTAAAATCATGGTCTGTAATATTAATGTTGACCACATGACAGATAGGAATAGGAAAAATTGCTCCAAGTTTAAGTTTTCAACAAATTTCTTCATTTGCCCTTAAGAATGAGAAAACACATAGGGAGGATCTCTCAGTAACCACCACCTCTCCCATTACACTGTCTGTCTTCAGAACCCTGCTTCAGAGCAGCAAAATAAAAGAAATCAGCACCATAATTACTGTCCCTTAAGCAACTTTCAAGAATTTTCTTATCAGTACTGAAGTGAAGCAAACCACTTTATATAATGCTGTGTAGCCTGGTTCCAGCAACTCCTAGGGTTTCCAGAAACATCAGCTGTGCAGTACAGGTAGGCTTCTAAGCAAGGCCAACACATGCTTTTAGAAAGCATACTTGGAGATTTTTCCTGGGAGTTCTTTTGCAACCTACTACCCCCAGGTTTTGTAATCTGAAATATCACTCAGAGGTGGGAGATAATTCACAGGGCATTTTTAAACTCCACTATTTTATTAAAAGCTCTTGTGAACTTATCAAGATACTTTCACCAGCTTGTTAACAGATTCACCCAGCACATCACGATTATTCTCCAGAAGCAAAGTGTGTTTGGCACTAAAATTAGCATTTAAAACAGTATCACACCTGCTTCTGCTGGTACCAACTGCCTGTAAGATTCATGAAGTCTTCTGAGGAAACTATGTCTGAATATTGTGTGCTTTCCGAATGAGGTTCTTGTGACTCAAGGCAAATGTAATTTTATGCTGCTATTGCCATTTCAGTGTCTTTGGTGTCCATGTTGTGTCTTTACCAGGTTTGCTGTGGTTTCTTCCTGCTTCCTTTCTTTAGGGGAAAAAATGCTCTGGAAAGAGGAATTGGGAATAAGAAGCATTCAAACTCCAGCACAAACACTGCATTGCAATGCTTCCAACTCCAAATATTTGGTTGACTTATCCAACAAAACGAAAATGCTTTTATGATTTTCACTTACTAATTTCACAGCAGAGAGCACAAACCAAAGCTCCAGAAAGAGCTATTTGTTAGCGCCAGGCCTTGCAACATTTGGACCCAGGTTACCCAGTGGGTTTGAGGCAGTTTGCCTTCCACCACACCCACTTTATGATATCCTGTTAATGCATGTCTCTGACCTTTACTGTCAAAATCCATCTGCTGAATTTCAGACCTGTGGGCTCCTTGGACAGCCTTCACTTTTCAGCGTGTTCTCGGGTGACTGTCCCGGTGGTACAGTGCTGTAGGGAGCACTTGTTTCTGACTTTTCTGCTATGTTTGCTGTTTGTATTTTGCAGGACACAATTTATCAGACACATCTAACCATAGTGCATTATAGAAATGAATGTGTAAATTTTAAAAATTGCTTTATGAGGAAAAAAAAAGCCTGTAGTGACTGATTCAGTACCTCAGCCTATTTCTTCCTGACACAGGCCCTGCCTTTTTGTTCAAATCATTGACTCGGGTCTCTGCTAAGCACAGCAGTTCTCCCCTAGGGCCAGCAGGACTCCTTATGGCTTCCACATGGTGCTCGTAGTTCAAAACTCTAATGGTCATCCCTGAAAGGGCATATCCGCTACCCCTAAAACATAAATGCGGAGCTTCCCATGTCCAGCTCTCCTGCCAGAATTCAAGACTACCGTTTTAACAGCTCTACAGAAGGCTGCTCTCACTGCTGGTTGCTTTCAGCCAAATCAGGCACTGATCTGTTGGATCACAGGCAAGAAAGCTCGCACAAAATTATCTTCCAGTTTGTCAGACCCAGGTTTGACAGCTTTGGTCAACTTCCCCTAAGGGCCTGGGGCTAAGCTCTGCCCAGGAACCTCGAACTTCACCAGCTGGTTACAGCAGAGGCTCCCCCACTTTAGGAGGCGATGCTGTGCACAGCGTTGGTGTGCGTGTGCTGGCTTGGAGAAGGAGGCTGGTACCACAAACAGGCACCATCTGCTGTAGCCTACCTTCAGCTGCCAACTGTGTTTTCGGTGCCCACGGGGATGTGAAACTGCTGTTTGCGCACAAGGTGTAACTGTTTGACAGCCCAGCCTACTACGTCCTTGTTGCTCCACGTAGTACTGTTATTGCTGTCCCAGCCTTTGATAAGGCTAGGGCCTCAGATAGCTACTGTACTTTTAAGTCTGCCTCCAAATAAGCGGCTACCTTTCATCTCTGTTTTATTGCCAAGGACAGAGACAGACAAGCCAGACCACTGGCTGGCTAATAAGTAATAGGGAACTTTGCTGAGTCCCACAGTCCTCCTGATCTGGTGATATATTTTTAATACATAGTGATTTATACATATAGATTTTTTCTATCTATAGCTCCTACAGTGTGAGCAGCAGGCAGGGGCCAGCACGTGGTGCGTGCATATGCTAGAGGAAATGCATGTCTGCAAGGGGACTCAGCTGTAACTGAGTAACTTGACAGGTAGAACAAACTCTTTCAGCCCTTTGCTCTTTCCAGTCCCCAAATATGACAGCTTAATCATTTTCTAGACACAAAATGTCACTGAGATAAAGCAAAGTTTATAAAGGAGGACTGGTCACATGACAGAAAAAAATCTGGTAATATATCAAAGCAAAGAAACTCAAAGTTCAGGAAACATTTGTTTTCCTCAGAGCTTCCCCCTTTCCTCTCTCTGAGCACTCAGAGGCTGAGAGAGGCTGGAAATTCAGCCTGAAGGTTCCTTAAACAAATATAGCTCTGTCCTTTACATCACCATACGGCTCACCATCAACGCCACATTTGGTAAACTGTGAAAGTTGAAACCCAGTTGCTTTGTTCCAGCTATTCAAAGGTACATAGGCACTGAAATCTTGCTGAAATAAACTGAACTGGCAGCTTCCTGTGATGGTTATAATGGCTTATAGCTTTACATGACTTACAGAATAGTCAGATCCATTCAAATTTAGACATGCTTTTCTCTCCACCAGAGTGAATGTGAACATCTTAATGTTTTCAAAGCTGCGTTTCAGCTGGCAGAAGCAGTGCTGTGCCATGCAGGATGGGGTCATAGCATTGCATCTCCCTTGAGGGGACATGACTTAAAACTCAGGACGGGCTCCTCAGGCTCTTTCCTCTGATAATCATCCCACAGATCTGGTTTGTGTGGCTAAATTTCAGCCGGGAACCTAGGGTCATCTTTCGCCCTCATGTGCGTAACATGGTTGAAGTTACCCACATGAAAAGCAGCTACACTAAAATCAGCTTAGGCAGAAGGCAATTCTGTCCTTCCACGTTTCAGGCTGTGCTGTTTGAGTTTTTTTTGCTGCCTCGCCAACTATTGTGTTAGATGCTGTGCAAAGAATAAATAAATAGGAGAAAGAGCCAAAGAGGAGGAGTTTGTTCTTCCAAGCAATGCATGGCCTTCTTTCAGTTACAGCACAGTGTTTATTATCTACCTTGAGAGGACAAGGGTTGCTTTTTCAAAACTACATAATTACGTGCATAGACTGTATGAAACCATCCCTGACCTCTAACATAATAAGTCATGCGGTTTCTTGTAAGTGCTTTTTGGGTGCTTGAGTGAATCACCAAATTTTGAGGTTTGTCATCAGTAATTTTTGGTAACACATTTTAGCCAACAGCATGATTACCCATAGTTATTTTCTTTTTATTTTACATTCCTTTAGCAGAAGACCCTTGTGGGGTGTTGACTTTCTACAGCTGAAAGTCTAAATGGTAAGACCGGGCTTTCTAAGCACATTTATTTGTAACATGTTAGTGTCCAGAAAAAGCCCTGAGGCCCATACAAACTCACCGAAGGATGCAGTCCCAGCCCTGGAGAACTTTCATTCTCAATCAAGAGGGAGAAGGTATGGGAAAAATGTTCAGCGCACAAGTGAAGCTGATAATTAACCCCATCAACCATCACTTTCCAGAAGTATTTAGATGCTCAGAGAGGTATCAGGCACTGATAAAAATGCACCATAAAAATGCACGATAAAACACATTAATTGTGCTGGGTGCTTAACTTCTGTGTAGGATTAGCAGAACTTAAGTGCTTTTTTCCTTTTGTATGTCACCACTATGCCTAGGTACATAGATACCTCATAGCTTTTATTAAGCCTGCATCTATATATATATATATATATATATATATATGTATATGTATATGTAATTTCTGAAAGTTGTAATTTCATAGCTTTATACTAGAAAAATAATCCCTGACAAAGGTGTTGCTGGAGAAAAGATGAGAAGGGGATACAGAAGTGGTGCAGAAGATAAAATAAAAATGAGAGGGAAGAAGTAAAAAGAGCAAGAAGAAGAGGGTGGTTAGGATGTGGTTTGCAATGAAAACAGGCCTGAGCAGCTGATTTTTTTAAGCAACAGGGAGGAGCAGGATAAAGGAATCAGGACCAAAGGCAGTGCAGGGAAAACAAAGAAAGTACCTCAAGTCCAGGTGAGACTTGAGACTAACAGGTCAGTTTTATTGGCTTTCTGCAGCCCAGACCACTGCCTGGTCTTAGGAATGGCTGCAAGCTTCACAGTGATAACAAAATCTCCCACCTGCAATGAAGACAAATACAGCAGGCTACGCAGCAGAGACAAATGCATGTTCTTGCACCTCCAGCCCTGCATCTACCTGTAGTGACTCCTCTCATTTATTTTCTCCAAGGAACGTTTCATGCTGTGGCAGACTGATACGGATTGTATTTGCTGTAGAAACATAAGTGTCCAAAACAAACAAACAAACAAACAAACAAACAAAAAACATACAACACCCCAAGAATTGCACCATTACCTCAGAAGTGTGAATGACCCCACTTTTCGCAAGCAGAAACCTAGAGTTTGCTGTCTTGTAGAAGATATTTAGGAAAGGGGGACTTCAGAGAGAGGCAAGCTGTTGTAAGCAGGGACTCATGGAAGTCCCTGCCCATACCACAGCTTTGACGTACTGCCATTTGAAGCCTCTAACTACACAAGCGCCTGGCTCTCCCCCTAGCAGGTTCAGGCAAGGTGCCAAGGTTCAAGCTGGTAAAAGGCAGAGGGGACCCATCAATTCTGTGTGAGAGGACGGTAGGCATGCATACCTGAGGTATGGAGGTGCTTTGCTTAGCACATGTTCAAGCTGGAAAATGCATACAGTATGTCTTTGGTCTCGGTGCTAAAGAGAGAAGGATAGAAGCCACCACCTAATGCATAACTAGACTCCTCTCATAGAAAGAGCACATGGACCTGTAGGCCCCATGCTCTGCTCCCCCTGCAAGGGCTTTCCAGGCAGTGGAGCCAGGCAATGCAGCAACCGTGACAGTTTTGGAGAAAGCCCAAGCACCACTTGAAGGTTTTCATCCAGGTGACTTTGTGCTCAGCCAAGCTTTGCTCTTTCTCTCTTTCGCTCTCTCTTTCTTTCTTTCCCTCTAATATGCTGGGTTAAATCAGACTGATCTCAGTATCAGCCTATCAGAGTGGACCATTTGTTGACAGAGAAATTACGATTTTCTTCCTGAGAAAGGGGAATAAAACTTCACCTGCAGAGTTGAATTGTGAAGAGCCATGTTTTTCTTCCAATGCTGTGCCTAGGCTGGGTGGTGAGGATCATCCTGGAAAACAGAAGCATTGAGCATAGCCAGGAATAATTCCAAGTACAGACTGCAGAGTAAGTCTGTTCACATCAAGCACTGGAAGGCAAATAAAGCACAGACAATGCGTAAAAACTCCCACCCTGTTCTTTCTTGTGCTTTGATAACAGCAAATGGGAAGCTAAAGAGCTATAACAATTTCTCCTCTTGTAGTCATTTTCCCTTCTCTGCTCCACACAAACAAACAAAACAAAACAGTCTTGTTTAAAATTGATCAAATTAGGACAAGGAGTGAGATGTTACTGGAGATTTAACCACTGTAATTTTATTTTTGAACTTTCTGTAAAAAGTAGAATATCTGAGTTAGAAGGGACCCACAAGGATCATTGAGTCCAACTCCTAGTTGTACTTTACTCCAAGTAAAGTACACATGCATTACATTCACAGAGACTGTGCCCTCCCTTTCTACCAGGCTTGCTCTCCCCTCAGTGTATTATGATCAGAGCCTTAGCCACACACAGGACTTGGCCAGCTAGTCAGTGACTTTCACCTTTGATGCTTTCTTGATCTCTTGTAACTCACTGTTGATCATATTGTGTTGTTTTTAAGTAACTGTATGTGTGGGTGCGTATTAGCTGTTAAAAAGCAATTTACATACCTTAGCTGCACTCGGCCAAGAAGCACACACATAACCCAACCCAATAAATCACAGCAATAGGAAAACAAAGAGGGGGCAAAGAGGAGGTGTGGAGCTGTGGCTGCAGGGTACTCACACTGCTTTTGGAGCATGCCAACCTGCTGCCAGAGCTGCCAAAGCCAACTCTGCCTAGCTCTTGCTCCAGGAGATGTCTTCCAGGACAGGTGATAGCCACAGCCTTGGTGGAGCATGGCTTCAGCCAAAAGAAATATTTTCAAAAAAATAGTACTCTCTTCTTCCAATGCTGCCCCAATTCTGTTCCAATGTAGATTTTGTTATCCAGCCTGCTCTCGTCAATAGTTTCTTCTGGACCCATAAAAAATGGTACATAGAAAGAATATACTGTCCTGACAGAAGGACCAAGCTCTTTTAAGAAAAACGACAAGAGGAAGAAAGAAACTACTTATTGCAAGCAAATTTGCCACCAGTCTTCCCTAGGGTAGATAATAATTGGAGTGAGCACAGCTACAAGGTTACAGATTTGCCACCATCTGGGGAAATGCAGTGTTCCACAGAACAATCCATAACAGAGTGCTTTGCCCTGTTGGCCTGTGCCAATCAGCCTGCCAGGAATCAAAATGCAAGTTAGCCAGCAGAGCAAAAGGCAACATCTCCTGCTTAAGTTTAAAAACAACAAGCCCAGCCAGAAACTGGGCCCAGGCCTTAAAAAAAAATAAAAATAAAATAAAATAATAAAAAAAAAAGTCTTTAAAATCTATGGAGCTCTGAAAAGAAGATTGTTTCATTGTGGTCTAAATGTAGATGTTGCCTATCCTGTGATGTTTGAAGGTGACCAAAGCCTTGAACTTCAGCTTTTATTTTACAGAGCTTGCAATATTTTTTAGTGATGTAACAAATACAGCTCTGGGTCTCCTAGCATTGGATCAAAAACTCCAAAAGAAGCAAGGCACAAACCTGTGATGTTACACAAAATTCACTCTGCCAATTCAAAATTACCAAAGAAATCTGTTAGTTAGCATTGCAGGAACAGGCTTTGTTTAATGTTTAATTAATATATATATATATATGAAAATATCTTTAATTCAGAAAGCTCAGACCTACAGCACAGAACCTCAAGCCACTACCAAGGGGAGGGCAGCTGTTGTTATGCATTGCTCCTCCTTCCCTCCTGCATTCCCCAGCCATGTGCTTTCCCAGCTTTGTGTTCCAGCACTTACTGCTCTTGTTTCTGTGAGTCAATAACTCAACAGAAAGCTTCTCAGCTGTGGTAGGTTTCTGCTGCTGTAGTAAGTTAAAGCTCCTCCGACATCCAGATGGATGAGCAGTCCATGGTACCTTGGGGAACTGTGCCTTTAGCAGGCAGGCTTCTCTTTCAGCCAAGCCAGACCAAGAGTGAGATACTGCCTAGACACTCTCTGTCCAGACCGTCTCTTGCCACTCCTCTAATTGATGTGGCCATCAATGCCACATACACCAAGTCCCTTTGTCTCTGTGGAGTGAAGGAACTCTGTTTCTTGCTGCTGCCAAGTCAGTTTTCAGACAGGTAAGCCACTGGAAGTGACTCACAAGGCAACCACGCGACAGCTAGCTGCAATGCAAGGGGAAGAGAGGGAGCACACACCTGACGTACAATTTCCCTTAAAAGCCACAGCTCTCACACAGCCTAGTTAATCTCACTTAAGGGCTGCTGTGGTTCCAGACTCACTCCTGCCCTTATCTGTGCATTTTTGCCCTTTAACTTGTGCCAACACTGGTGCCCACTTTTCCCACCCTAAGGAGCAGTTCTGGCTTGCTAAACTGGAGGAAAACTTATCCATTTCTTTGAAGGGGGTTGTTGCAGGGATGAGCAGGGCATGAGGGAGCAAAGCAGCCCTTGCCCAGATCAGCTGGGAGTCATTGTGGGAGTTCAGCTTTACCTTGAACACGTAGCAAGTTTGAAACAGATGATGACATTCAGGATTTACCCCTTTTACGTCCAGGGGGATGCTAGCTCTGAAACCTCACAATGATAATGCAGATAAACTCTCCAGCTGCTGGTAGTTTTATTAGAAACATCCATCTAATAGGATAATCCCTAGCTCAAACAGCTCTCCCCAGGGTCAGAAGCCACAACTATGCCAGGCCATACAGAAAAACCTCAGGTTTTCTCCACAACAGCTTCCTATAAATGTCACTCATTTGTCAATACAAAAATCTGCTGAATATTGAAAACAGAGAATGTAGAAACACTATGAAATTGAATATGATTTTAAAACAAACAATGCAGTGACTACCACCAAGTGTACTATTGACTTTTATACACAACTGTATGAAACCCATTGAACTATTCTTGTTTAAATGAAGCTGCCACATAATTCTGAGTCTGCTGCCCCCAGTGCCACATATTTTAGGAATGTGGGTAGAGACTTTAGCTACATCTTGCCATAGATAACACACGCTCTTACTGAAAACCAAAATTCAAGCATAGAAATGGACCATACTATACAGAAAAGGAAAATGACTAATAAATTAGAATAAAATATATTCTTTAGGAGCAATCAAAACTGAGAAAATAGAAAGTAAGGGACAAGTAACCAATGAATGTCTTCCTGGTATGCAGAGAGTTTTAAATCAAGACTGTTTCACTAGAGTATTAGAAACAAAATAGAAGCAAGCTGGAAAGTGACGTTGTCCTCCCTGCTTTATTTCCACTGAGCAAAAGTGCAGAAAGTAAACAAAAAGTGTAGAGAGAGAATGCAAAGGTTAGTTCAAAATGCTTTTAGCTTTAAGTTAGTAGGATCACATCTGTGAGACGTTTTAACTCTGTGTTTGTCTGTCTGATAAAGGGAAATTTATTTTCATTCATTTTTCAAGTGTTCCACAATTCTGGCTCCATTTGCATTATTGTCCTGTAGGTTATTCTGACACTTTGAGTGTACTTGTCTTTCTCACAAGCCAGGACATCCAGAGTGATGAACTCCACAGTAGCATTGAAAGAAAAGAAAACCACTTCAGAAATACATGACAGGGATGAGTAAGCAAGCCTTCCTGGTTGTTGATCTGTGATATACTCAGCAATTCCAGCAGAGGAAATATTTATTTTAGAAGGGTGCGTAGTTTCCGCTGGGTTTTCACTCCAGCACTAAAACCTGGTGCTGAAAGCTTTAATGATCAGATGATTTTCTTTCCCCTTTGAGTCAAAGAAGTGACTTTTGCTGTGTGCTTTACCTGCTAAAGCAAACAGCAAGTGCTGTTTGGTATATTTCAGGGGCTGAGCAGGAAATTTCTCGCAACGTGCAGTGACAGCACAAAGCATTTGCCTCTCTTGCAAGTTAGCAACATGGATAAATAGAAGAGCAGATTGGCTGGGTCACAGGTAGGCGACCTCCCCTCCTCCAATAAAATCTGCCTTCCTAGGCTGGGTCTCTGGAATCCTAACACTGCTGTTAGGCCAAGAGCAGAGATCCTCATGCCTGTGGTATTTGCTCAGAGGGCATGACCACTTTGGGCAAGTCTTTCATGTGAGTCAGCTTTAGCTGATCCATGGGAAAATTCCTTTGTGTTGTCAGGCAGGGTTTGCTCACAGTTTCAAAGGATAATCCGACTGAAAGGAAAATGCATCTAAATTTTAGCATATTTGGGCCAGCTCTTCAATTAAACCTGATGCAAAGCAAAGGATGCTCAGTTTTCTTTGCAAGCTGATTTGGATAAGGAGAACCCTCAATAAGGAACCTGTGTGTTCTGGAATGCACCACTGTCTTGCTGGATTCTACATCATCTCTGACCATATCAAATATCACATGCAGAAATATAGTCAACATAGATTCAGAAGAAAAGTGTAAGTTACGGCTATGACCCTAGAGAAAGGAAAATTAAACAACCAATCCTTCAAACACGTATTCATTTGACTGTCCTGTGTCCCATCATGTTCTCTAGTTACCAAAGAGGCAGCAGAGTCAGGGCAAAATCAAGGCAGAGCACTTCCCACTATCATTCCATTTTCCTCCATGAGGAGCATCCAGAAGCCTCCTCTCACCCCATCACTGTGCAAGAGTTGTTTGTTCAGGACTGGCTGGGGTCACTGCAAGTCCTTGTGTTGTTTTATTGCCCAGTAAGTGGCTTGACAGCCAGGTCTCCATCAGATGAATTCCCTAATGTATATGTGAGGCCAAGAGTTACGTGCAGCATGAGTAAGAATGGCAGAATACAGGCTCACTTCCTTCTTACGCAGCCTGCAGTAATACAGCCCTTAACCTCCTTGTGGTCCCAAGCACTATTGCCACGTAAATAAATTAGTGTCACTGTACTGTTGTAAGCACCCACCGTGCATTTAAAGCCACTCTACACTGTACCTGCAGCCTGAGAGAATTCTGTTCTAGCACAGTTACTGGGTCCCTAAAAAAAAACCCCACTCATTTTCCATGATGCCTTACCTAAAGACAAGGTCAGGGACTAGAAGGAATTCATACATGGGTTGGCGGAGAAATTCTGCTCGTCTGACACAAGGAAGTTGAGGACACCTACAGGGAATGAAGAGCTTGCTGCCTCGATGCACAGACACAGTATGAGTGTGTCCAAGACCCTTTGCTTGTATGAGTTGTTATAGCCTATTGATTTCAGTCAATGATGCTGTGCTGCTTCATGCCAGCAGAAAAGGGCAATATAGTGTATTATAATCACTCAGCCATCAGTCATGTCAAGAAATAAGTTGCTAATCACACTTTTTTTTTTTCCAGTGCAAGCTGCCAGTCCTTTTTTATGAAGATAACCTTCAAAATGCCTTCAAACTCACTACTGCTGAAAGTCTGTCAAGGTGAGCTTTGTTACAGAAATCAGATTAGTCACAGCTCCTCTTAGGCCTTTGCATAGCAATCTCGGTGTCTTCAGAAGGTCAAAAGCATAGGATTCAGAGCCTGAATCAAAATTAACAATTCTAAACCTCACAAAGTGAAAGTGGTTCAGTAATACAGGTCCTAATCTGAAGATGCATATCTCTGTTATGCACCTCAGCCATGGAAATGGACAAGTGATTGCAGGCTGATGCATGGAAGAAGTTAGCACAGCACAGCAAGTTACTGGACATCAGGTGAGCTCTGAGGGAAAGCATGCTTTTTTAAACCCCCTCTACAGAAACTTAAACAGCACTTCATGCTTTCAGGGAGCCACTCTACTGATGTGGTAAATCACATGTAAACTGAACCCCCTGGGAAGAGTTCTGATGCAAGAGCAGAGAGAGTGGAAAACCCACTAGGTGTCCCTCTGTCCCTTTATGCACTTGCATAGCCTTAATATTATGACCTGTTGTGGCTGTGTTCCAGTGCTGGACCTGTAAAATGGGATCAGTAGATAGTTCCCTGTTACACTGACCTTATGGAAGGAGCAATGTGTAAATGTCTGGGAGTTAGTTACTGCAGTAATGGAAATTCATAAGCAGCACCTGCTTGATGTCTGATGGCTACGTTTGCAAATATATACAGCATAATAGATTCTGTCACAGTTGTTTCTCATAACAGTCTCACTTTAATTTCTTGTTTGATATCAACAGTATGATCTGCAAAGA